AGTATATTTTTATCAGAAAGCCTTATATGAATTAGTAGCAAACATGTGTTACGGATTCGGTCAGTGAAACCGAAACCAAGTAGTGAACCCACTTGCGGGAGCTGACAGAGACGAGTCGTGATCCAAATACCGTAGCCGAAGGAGAGAGCCGAGAGTCCAAGGAAGCCTGTGATCCAAATCGAGAGGGAGTAGCCACAGCCAAACCGTAATCCAAAACCGTAGACGAAGGGGAGAGCCGAAAATCCAAGGGAAGCCAGTGAACCAAACTAGAAGAAAGCAACCGAAGCCGAGCCGTAATCCAATAGACGTAGTAAAAGGGGAAAAACCAAAGTCAGAACCAGAACAATACGAGGAGGTTGAAGGCGTAGCACAACTAAGAAGCTCGAAAGGGAAACGAATACTGAGCGAGGAGGTACTGTAGGGAAAGACTAATGCTAAATACCAGATGAGACGGAGGTGTGGTGGTGAACGCGTACCGTGATAGGTGGACTGATGAACTAAGGCTACGCCTTCTTCTGCCTCTTTCATTGCCGAGAGGCAGGGATCGTAACAACATGGTTTCATGGAAGGCTTCTTAAATAGTTGAGCATTCAGGTAGATTGCGAGGAGAAATTATTTTTAAATATATTGTGTTAAAGCAAGTCAGTGTTTTTTTGCAACACATAAGTATTGTAGCGTTAGTAGGTTCTTTTTCAGAACTAAAGAACAGTGGAGACGCGTTTAACCAAGCAGTGGCTTTATTTAACAACCACACCAAAACCAAACACAGGATCTACACACAAATGAGGAGACTGACGAACACGTACACACAATTAGGGTGGTAATTACCTAACAACACACTCTACTTTTACAGGACTACACAGGGCACTAGAATTACTAGGACATTATTTACACAGGCAGGGTCAGCCGCTGGTCATCGTGCTGACCCTCAGACTCTTCCCGGCTACCACTCCCAGCCTGCCCAGCGGTACTACGAGCGCCTAGGGGCGCTTCCTCCTCACCACCAGGCGAGGGCGTTACAATATATTTTTCCAAGAAAGTAATTTAGCCTGTCACTAATGGAACCACTAAATAAAGACATAAATATAGAAATCTTAACATTTTTTATTCAATGTTGGTAGCAGGATGAATTTAGGACTCTCCTAATCTCAAAACAATATAGCAGGTGTAAAAACAGTTATGAAGACCACAAATTACAAAGTAAATACATTTAAGAAAGACAAGCAGTTAGACGTGCTATCGAAGTTAGAAAATGAAGCAGATACAGACACTTAAAAACAGCCTTTCTATAAAGGTTTTGAGTTTAGATTTAAATGCACTCAGGGTGGGTGACTCTGATATCACTGGGGATACAAATCCAGAGCTCTTGGGTGCAGATAGAGAAGGTCCTGTCACCCACAGAATGCAGATGTTCTTGAGGACAGCTAGAAGACCAGAGTCAGACGAATGAAAGTTGCATGGTGGGGAGTAGACAGATAAGCCAGACAGGTACTGAATGAGGATGAGGATGTTGAAGTTTACTCAAAACCTGATAGGAACCCAATGCACGGACTTGAAGATAGGCGTAATGCAAGCCAATCAGGATTCTGGCTGTCAAATTCTGAACATATTGGAGATTGCTCGGTGTGGATTTAATTACCCCAGTGAACAGGATGTGCAGTCATCAATTCTAGAAAAAGAAGCCCTTCTGGTTTCTCTAGTACCCTTTAAATAAACTAAATCAGTGTGATGCTCCACAATGCACCTTTTTTTAATGCTACATGGCTGGTATTTACATATGATGTTTGTGATTTAAACCAATTAATACAAGCAATTTTTGAGGATATAAGTTAGGCTGAGTTATTGCAGGGGACAAAGCATTAGGAGTTATTTGCAGGCTAGTAACAGCGTGTCTGAAGAGCTCTTGCAAAAAAACAACATATGCAAAATTACTGCATACAGGTATATTAGAAATGAATGCAAGGTATATAGATATTCAAGGTATGGTTAGAATAAGAGGTGCCAGGTGCAGACACTGAAGGAGAAGGATGGAAAGGTTGAAAAAGAAGCAAGGGAGACAAAAGATCTACTAGCGGTAGAGTTAAGAAAGTAAGAGGAGCTTTGGACAGTGAGGAAGAAATAAATGAACAACAGAGAAGCTGGAATGTGGACCTGAAACTTCCTGTAGTAACAGTATAGTTGAAATGAAGAATGAAGAGGAGTTGGGACAGGGATGAAAATTAGAAAGGGATTTTAAGTTTCTCAAAGTAGTAGAAAAGGTTTAATCTAGAATAACTGAAAGTGTTATCTGCAGGCTGCACAAAATGGCAGGCACAATAAAATTAGACAAAGAGTGTTTGTTACCATGTGGTAGATGAAAAGGCACAGGTTAAAAGTAAGTTCTCATGGAACATGTTAAGACTAGAGATGTAGGTAGGAGAAAGATAATTTGGGGAATGTTGAGGAATACACTGATAACAAGGACACTTCCTTAGAGGGTTAGGCATGCTTTTGACAAATGGACAGGAGATGTTACAGACTGCAGAGGAAGATGATAAAGTTAACAGACTCACTGAATATCCACTGTTGAATGTTTATACAGTATAGATACTGAAATGAGAATTGTATTTTAGATTTTGTGAAATTGCTAGCGTTCAACTGTGTTTTGGGTGCACTTAAATTGAATGAATGGGCAAACATAGCTGATGCTGATCCAGAGCCAGCATCTGAAGATATTTATATTTAGAGGCAATTTGTTTACAGACTAGTTATGGATACTGATGTACCAGAGAAGTGGAAAAGCTGTTTTGTTAAGCCAGCAGTATAAAATAATTTATCCTCAGTGAGATCCTGCCATCCAATACATATACACTTACTTTAGTTCCATCCATTTTCTAATCACTTTCTCCAGTACAGGGGAGCTGGAGCCTATCCCAGCAAGCAACGGATGCAAGGCAGAATACACCCAGAATACATCACAGGGTAGACAGACAGAAACACACACACACTCACACCAGGGCCAGTATCCCCATAAGCCAATTAACCCTACCAGTATGTAGAGGTAGGTACCTGTAGTGTACTTGGAGAAAACCCGCATGAACCCAGAGAAAACATGCAAACCACACATACTGTCACATACTGTACCCCAGGAATTGAACCTAGGGCCCCAGCACTGCAGGATTGCAATTCTAACCACTGTGCCACCATTAGAAATGGAAGGATAGCTTACTTATCTTTCTAGTTCACAGATTTGCATGCATAATTTAATTTTGAAAGCCACTGAGACATCTGATGCTACTGTTGTATTTTTGAAAAAACTTACCAAAAGCATGCTAAACACTGCCAACCTGCCAAACAGTTAAGACTGTTATTAATTGTTGATAGCAAAATATTTTAAAATATATATCCTAAAAAATATGTATCCTAATTTTTCTTTACTAATTCTATATTTTACTTATTTTCCAATACTAGGATATAACGTACATTTGAACAATGACTTGTATTTCAAATATTGAACTAAGTTAGACATAACATTCAGAAATACAATCGAGAATAGTTTTGTGACATTTGTTTTGATGACAGTTTTTTAAAATTGATAAAAACCTAAAGGCGGTTAAATCTATAATCTTTCCACATGTCATGTCATTAGGAAGTACAATAAGCTCCTGTTTTGTTTAATAAAGGTTTAAAAAATAAATATAATTGGTGAAAAAGTAGCTATCCTTAATGATAATTAAAGGACTAGAAGTCAAAGGAAATTATTTACATTGCTTAATTTTAAAACCTAAGTTATACAGGCAGACGCGATCTGTGCCTTAAGCGTTCCAGGCTGCAGACGGCTCATTCTGTATTACAGAGCTCCGCGCCTCCTCCCTCTCTCAGTGCCGCCGCTTCTCTGACACAGAGCAGTGGCAGGGAGATACAGTATTTTCTCAGCCTCTAATTAAGAAAAAAAGACCTTCTGATCTGCTTCATACCATTGGAAGATAGTGGAATATGTTTTATCTTTGTGTTTATGAAATTCAAGTGTTTTAAACGTTTGATTATTATGTAACTAACAGTGTAAATTTCTAAGCTGATCACGCTGATTTTTTCTGAGGAAGAAAAATCACCCGTTTTTGTGCGCATGAAAAGTGTTTTTTAATTAAACTGTTTTTTACAGCTTTAAAAATGCAATTCCGAAGTTAGGCAGGGACAGGTAATTGTTTCTTATTTTTTAAAAATAAAAAAAATCAGTCGCCCATGGTGCCTCTAGTTAGACTGTAGAGATTCTCGTTTGAAGGTGTCGGTGTGTTTTGACTATGTTACATGTGAGAGTCTGTGTAGAGAGTCAAGTGTAAAAAGTGCAGTGTTGCATATTTTTGGGAGGGGTGTTTAGTTTCATTATGGTTTTCTTTTTAGTGGGATTTGTGTAGTATATAGGGGTTGTGTGTGTATGCTGTTTACTGCTTCACATTATTATTATTATTATTTTTACAGTATGTGTTGTTATGCTTAAAACCCTGGTTGTTGTTTTTTTCTTCAAATGGGAAAGTTGTTTTTCTCAACATATTTAAAAACAACAATAATAAAATCTCCAGTTCACTTGCTCCAACATTAGAAATTTACATTGGGATTAATAAACCATTTGAAGAAAAACAACTAAAATTAACTAACTAAAAATAACTGTAAGAAGATGACATAATGATAAAATATAATAATAAATGTGAAGCAATTTTTATTATGGTTAAAAGTCAAAGTCTTTCTGTTTCCCTTTTCCTTGTAGCTCCATGTGTCTACCTGTTGTCCACTGTCTCCCTTCCTGACAGTTTCTTCTCATCTTTCTTCTTCCTTCTGGAACCCAAATTTTTAAGCAGCTGTTATCTTCATTATCCTCCTCCATGGACACTCTGAGATGGAGAATGACATGATGTTGTATATTACTGCTGAGCTGGGTGTTGTAGTGAAGACTTAAACAGAAAGATGTGGATGAGCTGTGCAGATGTTCAGCTGTGCTCCTGTCTTTTTGTCTGCAGGATACTGAGATGTGAACTAACAGAGAGATGTTGTGAAGATCTGGCCTCTGCTCTTCAGTCTCAACACTCCAGTCTGAGAGAGCTGAGTCTGAGTCTCAATAACCTGGGGGATTCAGGAGTGAAACTGCTGTCTGCAGCTCTGAGGGACCCCAGCTGTAAATTAACAACACTGAGGTAAGTGAACACTGGTGATTTCTTTGTTTTTTATTGTTTTATTTAGGTATGCTGAGACACAGAATATTGCCCTTTTCACATGCATCCACACCTAGGAATTACAAAATAAAAAAGAAGCCGGGCATATACAAAGACAAACATTTGCTACGTAATTTTATACAAGTTATTGTTTGTGACTATATTTATTTGTTAAAATATCTCTTTACTGAGAGACTCAATATGCAATCTTTCCTACTTTGCCCATCTGGTTTACACACATATATATATATATTGTTTTAGGTTTAGATTTCTGTGGGTAATATTCTCCATGAGATTCATAGAGTCCTTCTTCATTTGAACACAAGGTTTTTCCAGCTTTGACCAGTTTCCTGCATGTTAAATGACTGTCCTTCAAATTCTCCCTGGTGCTTTAATCAGTTCCTCTCAGCTCAACCCCTGCCTTGTCGATCGTGTCTCTAGTTTCACTTTCTCCTGCCTGCCCTGCTTGCTTCCAGCAGAGCCTCCGCCTGGATTGAGTCTCTAGGTTACTGCTTCCATCAGCTCATTGCAGGACCCTGGGGTCCTGGGTTCAATTCCAGACCTGGGATGCTATCTGTTTGGAGTTTGTATGTTCTCTCCATGTTTGTGTGGTGTTCCAGTTTTCTCCCACAGTCCACAAATGAGCTGGCAGGCTAATTGGCTTCTGGGAAAGCTGGCACTGGTGTGAGTGTGTGCCCTTTGATAGACTGGCATCCTGTCAAGGGTTCAATCCTGCCTTGTGTCAAGTGCTTCCTGGGACAGGCTCTGGGTAACTGTGACCCTAAATTGGAAAATTGTTTATTGAAAGTGATGTTGATGGTTTTCAAATGCTACACTGCCTGCTTTGTCAATTAGCTGACAGTAAAAACTTAAATCTTTTTCAGATAAAGTCAAATTTCAGGGCAAACTTCAGTCTAGATTTATTTGGGAGGGAAGAAAACCTGAAGTAAAACATACACCACCCAAACTCTCCCAAATATACAGTCTGCAGCTCAGCTTCTAAAGCTTCAATAACCTGAGTGATAGCTCAGCACACAACCTGAGCTATTCATCTCACTTAAAACATATTGCTTTCTTTCTTTATTCTTTAGTGCCACACAACAGAATTCAATGGAATTTGCTTTCGGTACAGGAAAGAACACAGATGACACATACATACAACATATACAGTACAAATTTAAATAAGACAGAAGACAGACAAACACCGTCACGTACATCTGTAAGCAACTTTCCATGTAGCAGCATCATTATACAGTGGAATTCGGAGTTCAGTATGAATTCAGAGTTTGTATGGCAGTGGGAAAGAGCTGAGGTTGAATCGGGTAGTCGTTGAGAGACAGGATCTGAAACGTTTTCCAGAAGGGAGAAGCTGAAAGAGATTATGAGCTGGGTGAGAGGGGACCGAGATGATTGTCTTGGTAGAGAGATGAAATAGATGGGAGTTCACAGCCAGCAACTTTTGCAGCTTTGGACACAATCCTTTCTAGTTTGCCTTTTGAGTAGTTATCCAAGCTCCCATACCAGATTGTAATAGAGGTTGTCAGAACACTTTGAATTATGGCGGCGTAGAATTAAAGGAGAAGTTGCCAGTTCACTGTGTTTTTTGAGTTGCCTAAGAAAAAACATCCTCTCTATGATTTCTTGACTATGTGGTCAATGTTGGTACTCCATTTAAGATTACTGTTTATGTATGTACCCAGAAATTAAAGGGGTTTGTGGTCTCTATAGGAAGATCATTAATGAAGATTGGAAGTTATGTGTTCTGGATGCGTAGGAAGTCAATGATGGTTGCCCTGCTTTTTGAAGCATTGAGTGGGAGGTCGTTGTCCAAACACCAGACTGTTCCCCAGTCAATCTGCTTTCGGTAACAAGTCTGATCATTATTTGAGATGAGGTCAACAATGGTTGTGTCATCTGCATATTTGAAAATCTTGACAGAGTCATCCCGAGATGTGAGGTTGTTTGTGAAGAGGGAAAATAGCCATGGAAATAGGACACAGCCTTAGTGAGCATCTGTGCTGAGAGTCAGAGAGCAAGATGTCCTGTTATTCACCCTGACAGTCTGTTGGTGATGTGTTAAAAAGTCCAGAATCCAACGACACATAGAAGGGTTGATGTTCAAGTCCATCAGTTTACTGAATAATTTATGTGGATTAATGTTATTGAATGCTGAGCTGAAATCCAAAAAAAGGATGTGGGCATAGGAATTTGGCTTCTCCAAATGCTGGAGTATACAATCGAGAGCCAGGTTAACAGCATCTTCAACAGACCTGTTGGCCCTGTAGGTAAACTGGTGAGGTTCCAGCAGAGGAGATGTACAGTGCTTGAGGTGCTTAAGCACGAGACACTCAAAGGCTTTCATAGCCACCGAAGTCAGAGCAACTTGTCTAGTAGATGAGGCAAGATATTTTTGAAGATTTAGGAATGGGTATTATAGTGGATATTTTAAAACTGTGAGGGACTTCCTGCTGAAGAAGTGAAGTATTATAAATGTTGGTAAACACAGGAGCCAGTTGATCAGCACAATAGCTGAGGGCTGCAGCTGACAAATTGTCTGGGCCTGTGGCTTTCCTTTTATTTTGTTTTTTGAAGATTGCTCTTACTTCGTCAGTATGGATGGAGAAAGGAGGAGGCAAAGGGATAGATGAAAATGAAGGTAATGAGGAGGCCTTCACATCAGGTTTTTCAAAGCGAGCATGAAACTGTTTGACTTTATCTGGTAGACTGGGGTCGTCATCCAGTAAGGTGACAGTTTTATTCCTTGTAGTTGGTCATTTCCTGAATTTTCCTCCAAACTGTTCTTAAGTTGTTGTCAGCAAATTGTTCCTCTAGTTTTTTACTATAGTTGCTCTTAGCTTTCCTCACTGCAGAGCGCAGTTCATATTTGGCTGAGATATATTCAGGCCTGTCACCCTTAATAAAAGCCTTGTTCTTCTTACGGTGTAGGTCTTGCAGTTCTTTTGAGAACCACAGTTTCTTTTTACCGTATGTCTTGAAAGTTTTTGTAGGAATGCATGCTGTACCTCTTTGCAGAAACTTACATAGGATGTAACAATATCAGTGTATTCATCCAAATAGGCACAAGCAGAGCTAAATACATTCCAATCTGTACATTCAAAACACCCTCTCAGTCTTTCTATAGCTTCTGCGGACCAAACCTTGACTGTTTTAACTTTTGATTTGATATTTTTTTCTATTTTTATTTTTAAATCGCAATAAGCAAAATTATTGCATGATCTGAATTTCCAAGCAGTGCTTTAAAATAGGTGCAACAGACTGGGTCCAAGGTGCAGTAGCAGTGACCTAGTATTCTATCAGCTCTGCTAGAACAGTTAACTTGCTTCTTACACTTAATATAACTCTAAGCATTATGAAAATAAATAAATTCTGCAATTTAAATCCAGTAATGCCAAAGATAATAATTTGTATTGTGAAAAAAACTAAAGAAAGGAATAGTCGTTTTGAGGAGTTGAGAGAAATAGCATGGGACCCTGACTATAAACCACATAAAACAGACTTTTTAGTGATGGTCATTGAGGGGCATAAGGAAGGTCTAGAACAAGACAGAATTACTGGGAGTACCTTCATTCTTGCTGTCTTCATCCTTCTCAAGAATTAGAGAGGCATCAGTTTCCATCTATTGAAGTTTTGCTTAACCTGATTTTCTAGAACCTTAGTTACAGTATATTTTAATATGTTTTCTACGTTTTGGGTATTGCAGGTTCAAAACATTTTATCTGATCCCAATCCTATCATAAATTATATATATTTTTTATTTCCAGGGATATAGGTTCTCCAATAACATTGCTTTAGAGTTTCCTTTGTTTAATTGTGAAAACTTGTTAGTCTGTTAGAACAGGAAAAGATGTTGAATTTTTGCTGTATAATATCATCATCTTTATAAAGAGCCTGATCGTGTGTTTCTCCTGCTATAACACCTCCCTCTGTATTCTTCTGTGGTCTTATACTCTGAGAGAATAAATCAGTGGTGACAAGCATCTCCTCGTCTTGTTCCCCTGTATGAATTAAAGCTCTCTGACAGAATACCATGAGCCTGTTCTTGTGCATTTGGTTGTTTTTACATTGCATGTTGTCAAACAATAAAACCATTATGAAAACCAAATTCCCTACAAGTTTCAAATACAAAAGGCTTTAATATCCTGTCAAATGCTTTTTGTGGACCCAGAATTTTTCATTTAAGTTTTCAGTTTTTGTGTTTAAAGATACAGTTTAGTGTAGACTGATAAGACCTCCAGCCAAATAGTCCATTTCCACCTGGAATGATGTCCTCTCAAATATTTTATAATATCTCTGGGATTAAAACAAGTGATTATAAAGTTGAAGTATACAGTATACAGTAGAATCCTTAGATTTCTTATGTCTTACTCTGTCCTCTCACCAGACAGACATATCCAGGACAACAAAACAAAAAACAAGATAGAAAGAAAAGAGTTAAGCTCATGGCCTTACAGTGCCTTTGAAATCCAGCAATGAGTGCTTGAGATCGGTTGTGAAAATACCCTGATGTACTCTGTTACTTTTTGAAGATACTCCACTCCTTTGAGCCTCTTTTATATCAGCTGCACTGGGTCAGCAAGAGTCTGTCCATCCCGGGCTGCCCTGATCTACTATCCGAGACTCGGAGTACACTAATAACATCATGGTCATGGCTGGGGGAGAGCAGGATGTCAGGGCTCTGTAAAATTAAAACCTTCAGGGGATTCAAATGTTGTCATCACCTGCTCATGGCCCAGCCTTGGGTCCTGCTGAATCAATCAGGAGACCTCAAACTGGCCCTAGTCCTCTTTCTCCTAGACACCTGTGGTGTTGACCTGTCCCCACTGCCTCCTTTCCTCTACTACAGTCTACTAGAGGAGTGGTGCTGTCTGTGTGTGTGGAGAGAGGAGGAGACACCCAGTCAGAGAAAACCAGTGTGAACACAGAGAGAACATACAAACTCCATGCAGATACCTGTAGCACCA